CGGGCGGAGGACGGCGGCGTCTGGGGCCCAGGCCGGGTCCGGCTCCGGCTCCATCTTGGGCCGCAGAGCCGGGCACCTGTGGCGGCCGCAGGAGCAGCGCTTCCCCCGGCCTGCGCGGTCCCGGGCGGACGAAAGGGTGAGACGCGGGCTCCGGGCGTGCTCGTGGTGGTGTTGGGGGTGAGGGGCGGCGCCTCCCCCTTCCTGCAGCCCAGAACCCACTCCTCACCTCTGCTTGCGCCCAGACCCTCGGCGTCCCGGCCCTGCCTAGAGCTCAGCGCCCCCCGTGGACGTCGCCTTCCTCCCATGTCGCCGCACATTGCCCTATCCCGTCTCCTCTTCCATGTCTCCTTTGCCCGTCCTTCCGTTTGTCGTTACTGTGACCAGGACCTTTTCTCCTTCGTCCTCCACCCCTGCTCCCATCAATTCTCCCCTCTCCCATTCCCCCCCATTCTCATCCCCATCCCCCAACCCACCCTTCTCCCACTGCCAACACCCCGCTCCCAACCCTCCCTTGCCGTTTCCCTCCTCCCGCCCCGCACCCCTACTCCCGAACGCACAGCCCCATCTTCCTTCAGTCATTGCCTTTGCTGCTGGGAAGTCTAGCCTAGTTTGAGGGCCCTGTTGAGGTCCTTTCTCCCTAAGAGCTCGGGTGGGCTTTGTGCAGGAGGGGAGGGGAAGGGAGCTCTGGGTGAGGCTGATGGTGTGGTGTGTTCAGGCATTTGGCCCCGCAGGGGCGGCGTGTGCTTGGCGTGCTGGAGTGCAGCTGTGTAGACGCTATTTCCTGCAGGCTTGCACTGCAAACAGGCCTGTGCCTCGGCCTCTGATATGTCCACAGAGGGGCATGTGCTCATGCTGGGGCAGGGGTGCCTGTGAGTGTGAAGGCAGGGACACACTGGCCACCTGGGCTGCTTCTAGGCTGGGTGAGCTGGCCCATGAGAGCAAATCTTCCCCAGGGAGGGAAGCTCAGGGGTCCGGTCCTCTCTGGTGAGCAGAGCTGCATCCTTGGGCCACCTCCACATGGTTACCCTTGAGCCCTTTCCTGGCACAGTTTGTGCCCTGGGGCACGTTGCCCCTGAGGTGGCTTCATCCTCTCTGTGATGTGCAGGTTTTGTTTCCTCCAAACACTCCCTTTTAGGAATGCTCCCTGCTGCATTGCCCAGCTTTGGCCCTGAGTGTTCCTGTCAGGCCCCCTTTCTGTCCAGGATGGATTAAACCACCTGCTGGAGGTTGCCATGCCCCCCACTGTGCAATGAGGGATTTATGGGGTGTGTCTCCCTAGTTGGTCTCTGAGGGGTTAGATCCATATTTTAATATGTCCACAGTTACCCCTTCAGACCATGTGGGTTTGCTTTTCCTGTTGTGGTTTTGCTGGACACAGAAGTCATCATCCAAGTGCCTGCCGCTTAGCTTACCAAGAGGAAACTTATATGGATGTCACAGTGTGGTCTGAGATGGAGTGCATTTGTGGTGGTCTTGGTAGTCCCTCTGGGCACATCCGAAAGGCTTGGGCTCCTCTGCTGGGGCAACATGGCAGGAGTTGGAACCTCTGACCAAATAGACCCAACAGTCTAGTCTCTTTGATTGGGCTAGTCTGGAAGTTTCTGCAGAACTGGGGGCTTTTACTCAAAATGACATTGGTTGATTGCTGCAGGTGAGGCTGGTTAATCCTGCAGTTGTTGAGAAGCAGAACCTGAGGCAGCAAGACAGTCCGGCGTTGGCCACAGGACATCGGCCACATCCCGCACTACTCTGGCATCATATGGGGCAGGAGAGAGAACATTAAGGTATCATTCAAAGAACACTGTGGGTCTTGGATACCTGTGTGTTCCTTTCCTTTATCTTGAGCTAAAACATCTTCCCAGGATCTCTTTAGTGTGAAACCAGAACGTTTTCATTGGTTGCAAAGGCAGGTTGGGCATGTCTCTGGGCATTTAGAATGCAGACTACAGACTTATGTGCATGCGTGTCCTCCCAGATTAAGATTTAAGATGGGCTCTGGGAAATTTAGTGTGGTGATGGGGACTCTGGAGACACTGGTGATGACTAGGTCCTAAGATGGGATGAAGGTAGCACGAGTTGGGAAGCAAGACTCGATTGACCTACGGGGTGTCTCAATGGCTTCTAAAGGGCCTCTCTGCTCCCCAGTACTGGTGCCTGTGATACCGTGAGCTCAGGCCACTCTTAACGGGTAGTGAAAGAGAAGATTATCATTAACAATCACTGTCGAACACAGTCCATATATGCCATTGTGTTTAGTATTCACAAGGACCCAGCAGGGCAGGGATTTACTTCTGTTTTGAAGATTGGGGAAACTGAGGCTCGAGGAGGTGTGTCCACCTGAAGTCACACAGGAAGGGGAAGAGCTAGGGGTGGAAGCAAAACGTGTCCCTTCCTCCCTACCCATGGCTCCTTGGGAGGCCCCTCTTTTTGGCCCAGTCCAAAGTGCTATGGACAGGGAGCATGGGAAGCCTCCTTTTCCTGGGATAACCTGTAGTGACTTCCCTTGGAGCCCTTCCTTCCCCTGGGGCTGGGAAGGCCAGGTCGTAGGAGGATACCATGTTAGGGTTCTGAATCGGCCACTTTCAGTGGTGGGTTCTTTGACATTTCTGGACTGCTCCAGGCCTCAGTTTTGTCACATGCCACTTGTGGAGGTGGGGCGGGGAAGGAAACCAACAGATATATAACCCCCCCCCCCCCCCCCCCCCCCCCCCGCCCAGTTCCCTGTGGTCACTGATCTCTCTAGGTGATGACTAGCCCTGAGCACTAGGCAGCTGGCTGGTGAGACAGGTACAGTGGGACCCTTGTCACTGATGGCATGTTGATAGGTTTTGGTGGGGGTGTGAGGATGCCCCCAGCCTCCTCCTATTTGTGTCTTCAGGGGGCCAGGGGCTGGCCTGGCTCTTTTTGGTTCCACATCCCACTCCCTAGGAGGGTCCAAGGTGGTGGTGCTCAGCCAGAGGCTGTGCAGGCTGTCCAGCTAGGGCCTCCTGGGCCTTCTTGGACCTGTGGCTGGGTGGTTTTCTGCCTGCCAGGGGCTGTCGGCGAGCACAGCCTTCTCAGTCAGCAGGTACACCTCCTGCCCTCCTTACTTCCAGCAGCCTAAGGAGCCTCTAAGGAACATGTGGGGTGGGTGTGTGGCTGGGCTTTTCTTCCACTCTATTGCTTGTTCCATGGCATGTCATGAGCACCACTGCAAGTGCCACATGGTGGGCTGGGTGCTGGGCTCCGGTTGAGCCAGGCCATCAGATAAGTAAAAAGACAATGACAGTGGAGGGTGGGAGCTGCCAGAATGGAGTTGTGCACAGTGTTTAGAGGAGGTAGAGGACCTCAGGCACTCACCAACTGTGTGCCCTTGAGCAAGTCACTAAACCTTTCTGAGCTTTGGTCTCTTCATCTATAGAGTGGGGACGATGATGCATCTCATGAGAATGCCCTGACAGTTAAATGAGACAATGTGTGCGAAGGATGTGGCTCATGCCTGGCACAAAGTGGGTGGTCGGCACTGGGAGCTGTTCTTACTATTATTGTCACTGTTACTGTCACCGGCTTTATTGCCCTCCTCTGCAAATCCATCCATAGTAGAGCTCCTTGATGATAGCACCTGCATCAGAGTCTTCTCCTGCCTACTCATCCTTTTCCTAACTGTCTCAGGGACCAGTCTGGCTTTGGCCTCAAGAAGCAGTGAGGATGGATGGGACATTCCTTACCAGGCTGGAGCTGTGCCCACAGCTGCACAGTCCAGTATAGCAGCCACTAGCTACATGTGGCTGTTTAGATTTAAATGACTTAAATTTCAATAAAGTTAAAAACTCAGTCACTCAGTACCCACATGTGGCTAGCACCTGCCTGTTGGACTGCACAGGGTGGAAGCTTTGCATCATTGCAGGAAGTTGTGCACAACTGGACTCTCAGCAGGGGACTACAGCTCCAGAACCACCCTTGCTGTTGGCTCCAATAGCTACCAGCTGTCTCCTGAGTGCTGCGATGGCAAGAAGTTTGTAATGACATAGAAACTGAGTTCTGGAGCCCTTCCCACATTCCCTTTTGGGTGGTTGCTCACCAGGCCAGGGAGGTTGGTTTCCTGGCAGTTCTTATCAGCCCAGGAGTGGGAGGGCAGGGCAGGGATTGCCCAAACTACAGTCATTGCCTGCTGTCCCTGTCCTGTTTCTCCAGCCGGTCCTGCCTGGCCAGGAGTCCCAGGGTGATTTTCCTAATTCTCAGCTTTGGCCAGGGCTGGGCTGGCCCAGACACCCCGGCCCCCTGGGCTGTACCCGGCTCCCAGCCTGCTCTTCCCCTTGTGAGCTCTGAACACACGGCCTTCTGCCCACCCTGTTTCTTCCACCCAGGCACCTTCTCCCTCCTCTCTCTCCAGGTCCACTAACGTGGCTGTCCTCCAGGAAGCCTTTCCCGGTCCATCACCTGCCCTGGCAGTGCCCTCCTTGAGACTCTGTTTCTGGCACTTGGCACCCTCGTCTACAGGTTTGTTCCTGTATTTGCTCACTCTCTCAGATGGGGAGCAGTGGACATTCTCCAAGTCCAGCTACGTGTCAGCTCAGTGCTGGGTGCTGGTCAGGCGGAGGGGAGCAGGCCACAGGCCTGGCTTTGTTAGCTTCAGGCTGCCGGGAGGCCGACAGTCAGCCAGACTGTCCATCCAGGCCCTACGGTGCTGGGGGCAGGGAAGGTTCCCCAGGAGGATATTCCAAGCCAGAAGGTGACATGCTGCCTCTAGGCTGTGGCTGGGTCAGTGGGCAAGCCCAGAGCAGTTTGTATGTCTGGAGGAAGGGACAGCAATGGCTGTGAGAAAGGGGGACCAGGCAGATGCAGGCACCCTTGGCAAGAGGGAGTTGAAAATTTTTTTTCTAAGTACAGATAGTTCCCATACTTCCCCCCCGCTCCGTTTCTCCTGTTATTAACATGGTATATTAGTGTGGTATGTTTGTTAAAGTTATGAGCCAATATTCAGGGAACTGAAATTTTATGGAAGAGGTGTCTGATTGGTGGAGTTGGGTGGGCATCTTATCACACTGCTGGGCTTCCATCCCCAAGGGCACAGCCAGCTCCAGAGCCTGCATGGCACGTGGCAGGGGCTCAGGACATGGCTGTGGAACGTACAAACAAATGCTGAGGGAGCCCCGCATGTGCAGGCTGATGTGTGGGGCCCTCCCTGCTCCTGGAGCTAGAGAGGGGAGTCAGGGGTCCCCCCCTCCACCACTGATGAAACTGAGTCCCAGAGCTGTGACAGCTCAGCCAGACTAGTCCAGAGAGGATGGGGAGGGGGTGTGGGGAGAACCCAGGGCACTTCTCAGTATGTCCTCAGCTCATTGCCTGCTAACCCCACAAACCTTCTCTGAGTCCCCTCTGTACCACGGAGGCCCCAGTGCACAGTGAGGTGGGTACTGCCATCCCAGGAGGAAGAGTGAGCTGTGCAGGTTGTCATCAAAGACTGTGGTACTTCTGTGCTGATTGACTAAGAACTCTTGTCCCAAAACCCCTGTCCCCAGTGCTGCAGTCCCACCCCCAAGGCCTCAGCAGACTTGGCCTCTCCCCCTCCCCATAAGCCAGCCAGTAAAGAGTCAACAGCTGGCTTGGTGGGTGGTCTCCGGGACCCTACTCTGGGGCAGGTTCTAACTGAGCCTAGTCCTGATTATCTGACATTTGCAGCATTGCCGAAGTCCAGCTTCAGTGAGGGGTGGGTACCCGAAAAGGGATGGAGAGGGTCGGCGAAATTAACAAACACAGACGGAGACCTCAGTGCATCACTATGCACGTTCTCTCTCTGCGGGCTGTCAGTGCTTTTGGGCTGGAGCCCAGTAGAGCATGAGACAATGCCTTTTATTTAAATTTACAACTCTGTAGGGGGGCTTTGGGTACTATTTTTATTACATCAGCAAGCTTGAGTCAATAATTCAAAAAGCACAGGGGAAGCCAGTTTTTTCCCTTCGTCAGTACGTTTCAGATGATTAGCTTGTGCTTCCTCCTTTTGGTATCAGGTTATCAGATCGGGACCATCTTCTCATTGTCCTGAAGTTAACCTGTGACCTTTTCCTGTTGGCAAGCTGTGGTTAATATCTACCCTATTAACAGGGTGGTGGCTATTGCGGTTACAAAGTGATAGACAGTACTATCATATGACCTATGACTATTGTTAAATGTAAGTACAAATTTGCTAAAAGGAACAATGCTAACATTTAAATTCTAATGGGGGTCTAATGATTATGTTCTAATGGAATGAAAAGGAACAATGGATATTTGAGCAGCATTATCATGCACAAGCATTATATGCATTGGCTGTGGCCCTGTAATCTTAATCTAAATGTTAAAGTGTCCTTGTGCACAGCACCATCCCTCACAAAACTAGGTGTACTCTCTTATTCTTCTAAGATCTAATTTTGCAGGTTTAATAATTTTACAGCATATATTTTTATCCCAATACCTGATTTTTTTTTTTTTTTTTT